GGTCAAGACAAGTCCAGAGTGTGTTGTAGCTCAAGACAAGTCCAGAGAGTTCCAGGTCAAGAGAGTTCCTTAGAATTACAGATCATGTCCTGAAAGAGTTCCAGGTAAAGACAAGTCCTGATTCAACTTCAGTTATTTTATCGAGTCTAAAGTGGTCTAACTTGTGACTTGAGGTCACAGCTCTTCTAATTTGCATATTAAAGAGGTAAAGTTTCGAGTTACTACAGGTGTTTTAAAGCAGACCAAGTCATTTCCAAAAGATTTGAACATAATTGTTGTTTTAAAATATCAAATAATAAAATAATTTATTAATTGAACTGCTCAAGTCTGATCCATTTGTAGTGAAGTTGGTTCGAGGTCAGGAACATCGGGGTCGGTGGAACAGTCCCAAAGGTTTTAATAAGCAAACTGTTCCTGGAACATTACCTTCATGTTCCAGGAACACACTCAGGAACAGGTGTGTGTGTGTTTACAGGTACACACAGGTCAGTGAATGCATCACAGTTTAAACTTGATACCGAGTGTTAATCTTCACACCCACAGCATTCTGGGAAATGACAGGAAACACAATGTTTAACAGACTACAGGAGTTAATGTTTTCACCCCTTCAGATTAAAAGTTATTCCTGTTAATCTGACTGTGCAGGCTGTGCAGTGAAGGATTATGGGAATCTGGTGTTTGAAGATGTGACAGATGATGAGCCGGTCCGAGGTTCCAACAGGGTCCGTGCAGTGGGTAGGGCCAACCAGAGGCTGTCTGAGGCGGTGCGGGAGGTGAAGGAGGACGGATGCACGGCCGTGATGCTGGGAGGAGACCACAGGTGGGTCAACAGGAAGTGACACTGTCATCAAGACAGGTGTCAAGTTTTGACAAAACACACGAGGATCAAACTGATGAGGAGCTTCTCTCGTCAGTCTGGCCATCGGATCCATCCACGGTCACTGGACCGCCGTCGGACCGTTGAGTGTCCTGTGGGTTGATGCCCACGCTGATGTCAACACGCCTCTCACCTCGTACACGGGCAACCTCCACGGGCAACCGCTGTCCTACCTGCTGCATGAGCTGAGGTCAAAGGTAAGCTCCGCCCTCTGTCTACCTGTGAGATGAGGTCAAAGGTGAGCTCCGCCTCCTGTTTCTCATCAGTAACTCCTTGTTTCACAGATTCCTGCTCTTCCAAACTTCTCCTGGATGGAGCCGTGTGTGTCAGCCCAGGATCTGGTCTACATCGGTCTGAGGGATGTGGATCCAGCTGAGCAGTGAGTTCACCTGTCTGTCAACACCTGTCTGTCTGTCAGCCCGTCTACATAAAACTTGTTGCCTGTGTCCGTCCTCAGCTACATCCTGAAGCTGCTGGGGGTGAAGGTGTTCTCCATGTCAGAGGTGGACCAGCTGGGCGTGGCCAGAGTCATGGAGGAGACGTGTGACTACCTGTGCTCCAGGTCAGCCTCACCTTTCTTGTCCAGGCTGGTTTCACTTCCTGTTTAACTGGCAGGTGCTTTTTCCTCCTTTTTTGTGTTTAAAGAGCGAAGAAACCGATCCACCTGAGCTACGACATCGACGCCATCGATCCGTCCGTTACCCCGGCAACAGGAACACCTGTCATTGGAGGTCTCACCTACAGGGAGGGCCTGTACATCACAGAACACCTCTGTCAGACAGGTACGGCTCCAACGGATCACTTTCCTGTTAGTTTGTTGGAACATCTGAGGTCCAGAATTGGATTTGTTTCAACAGGTCTGCTGTCGGCGGTGGACCTGGTTGAGGTGAACCCTCTGAGGGGACAGACCGAGGATGAAGTCCAGTCCACCGTCAGCACCGCTGTGGACCTGTTGCTCGGATGTTTTGGACGTGTCCGTGAAGGAAACCACCAGGTGGACTACTGCCTACCTGAGCCGTAACTGACCTGTCCTACTGAACCTGAACTCACCGCACCTCAGCACAAAGAAATCCACCAACTGTTCTGTGGCGCTTTGACCAGAACCGGACTTGGAGAACAGTCTTCCAGTGGACGCAGAGCTCCGCCTGCCGTCAACCTGAACACACAAATCCTGTCAAAGTGCTGCTTATTACTCAAGAATGTTTGATGTCAGAAAATAAATCACCTGTTGTCCTGTCGGGTTCAGAGCAAAAATATAAGTTTGTTGTTTGATCTTAGAGAATGTGACCAACACAGCACCGGTGTTCAACAAGCGCAGCTTACAGGAGTCAGAACCTACATGAAGCAGATTATTAGTATTTTTATTAGATTGCTGTAACACAGAAATGCTAAGGTTCAGAGTTCAAAGACAACCTTGACAAGATATTGTTTTTTTATTAATAATTTATCCTTTTATGTTACTTTCTAATACAGTGGTGAGCCAGTTCTCTTTATTTAAACTCCACCCACATTCGTGTAGGCGGAGCTCCGATGTCACTGTGGGCAGAGCTGCAGTGTCTGGGTCCACAGTGAGGAGACAAAGATCTCAGCAGAGGTTTTATTCTCATCAGGAACTTTGCTCCAGAACAGAGTCGTGTTCTAGCAGCACAAACAAACAGAAGTCAAGCCAGATTTATTTAACGAGCACATTTAAAACAGAAACTGTTACCAAGTGCTCAACAAAAACATCACATCATCAAATAAAAAGTAGCATATATATTTACAGCACATGGAATAAAAATATAAAACCAAAAACAATTAGAAACAATGAAATACTAAATCAGATCAGATGACCTTGTGTTAAATAAGAATAATAACAAAAGCATAAACAGAATCAGCATCAATGAAAAACCAGATCTAAGTCTGATCACACTGTGTTAAATGTCAATGAGTCCAGATGTGTCAGTGAGTCCAGATGTGTCACTGAGTCCAGATGTGTCACTGAGTCCAGATGTGTCACTGAGTCCAGGTGTGTCAGTGAGTACAGATGTGTCAGTGAGTACAGGTGTGTCAGTGAGTACAGGTGTGTCAGTGAGTACAGGTGTGTCACTGAGTACAGATGTGTCACTGAGTACAGGTGTGTCAGTGAGTACAGGTGTGTCAGTGAGTACAGATGTGTCAGTGAGTACAGATGAGTCAGTGAGTACAGATGTGTCAGTGAATACAGATGTGTCAATGAGTA